ACTCTACCTGATGAGCCCCACGAAGGACGAAACCGTCCGTGGGCTGCCCAAGACTTTTGAGTAGCCCTGTGAATAAGGTATTCTGTCCATTCAAATTGCTGCTTTTTTGGCAAAGTACTCCTCATGTAAGGTGATACAGACATTGAACACTTTGAGGTTTGGTTCACCGCTTATCTACGTTATTACGTCTCTACATGGTATTCACAACTTACTCAGCCATTTTTTCAACTTTTGAGGTAAAGTCCACAGAGTAAAAAGCGTTTTAGGATACTCAATGAAAAGAAAACTTAATTGAATTACGTTCTAACTGTCATCAACAGTATAAACCCTAGGTTTTCATATGGTCTGCATATACTCAAAAGTTTACACAGTTGTATGGACTTTGGTTTTCATCGCCTGAATACTCTGAAGGGACTCTAACGGATCTGAAAAGGCTATTTAGGGCAAACCAATGCTAGGTCACCTACGTCTCAAATAAATTTCCAGGTTTTATCTACTCGAGATCAAGTTGACAAGGATTCGATGAACCGGGAATGAATCATTTGTAGTGAGACTGCTGAATCCCGAGAGCAATCGTTTTTGGTGGGTTTTCGCCTCAACAGCAGAAAGCCTTTGGTTTGTTACGCTCATTTTTATGCAGAGAATGAATTTTTGAATTTTTGAGAAATCTAAAAAAGGATTCTTCAACTTTCTAATGCAGATTATCGTGAGGCCGTGGCTGAGCAGCTCAAGATATTGCTGACTGATCTGACAGGCAAAATCAAAACCGTGGTGGACGAAGGCCAAAGATGCTCAGGTAATGCAGATATAATGTTTATTACCCTTTGGCTTCTGTTGTGATGCTCACCCTCAAAATGGGGGCATTGTTCTCTCGTGTGACACTAGCTCTGTCCAAAGTTGCCTGAAACATTTGTTTGTGATTTCGGATAGAAGAGGAATTTATTTGGCAATCATGTACCGTTTCGTAATTCGATCTTACCCAGAAAATTGCAGTTAGTGGACCACAAATTTGCACCTTACCAGACTCAGAAAGTACAACATGTACTCTCGGGTCACTGAGCAAGTATAGAGTCGACAGAGCTCAAAATTCAATCGGATCTGTTCAATTTGAAATTCGTGTGTGCGAGTCACTTGTTGTGGAGTGTGAAACCGAAAGGAGCTATTCAGCAGAATGTACTGATTCCAATGAACTTGGTGAAATTTGATTTTTTTGATCATTGAGTCAAGCGACATTCCTAGACTTGAGGTGTTCATAGGCGAGATGATCGTGAGGAACATGAATGTGCAGTGGATAAACCGGTAGAAACTGGGGTCAGCCATGGTCACAGGCCGTTGTCTCTTTCAAGAAAAAGAATGAATACGTAAACAAGTAAAAACACCGTCTCAAACTCACTTGTATGCGCAACATTTTGGCTTGTGATTTACAAAGGAAAGATAAATCTTTTGTGACACAAAACTATTGATAAGCTGGACATTTGCAGGTAAGGTAGTAGTTTAAGCGTTCAATATTTTTAAAATACGAGATACCTGGTGATCGACTATGAGTGGTGTTCATTTGCTGCTTCTGTTTAGCAGAACTAAAATATCAGGAGGTCGAACAATGTATCTGATTGTCTCGGAAGGCGGAAATGGCCGGGTACATGTATAAGTGCACTGGTTATGGTAGTCACACTAGAATTCCGAAGGTATCTGCACTAATAAAAGTTTTTACTATGGTTGACAGGCGTGAGTTGCAACACATATAAAAATAAATGCAATGTGAAATGTGTAGCAAGTCAACAGGGTAAACTATCGTTTGTGAGAGTCCCTTGGTGAAAGTCCGGACGCCGGGAACCTGTTTTCTCCGCAGTGCAGTGTCCTTTGACTTGTGGAGTGCGGTTGACTTTTTGCTCCTGCGTCCGCGCCAGTCTCTCTCTCTCTCTGTGTGTTAGCTGTGTTTGATATTCCTATATGTAGGTACATTAGCGTGTACGTGGGATTGTCAGCACATGAGTTGTTGTTACGCTTACTAGACAGTCAATGTTGGATGAGTCACATTTGTGTGACGTGTTTTTGGCTAGTCTCGTGATCAAGTGAGGGGCTGTTAACTGAACAATCAAATATGTGTGCGAAGGGATAGCTACGCATGCTGTTTATGGATGCGAGCATTATACAAGATGTCAAGAACATCCACCGACAAGCGACTCCTCTGGTAACGAATCCACAATTTGGATGGTATTACGGATGGGCCTGGAGACTCGAGGAAGCTGGAATTTCCGACTGACAATAACATATCTGTGTAAATGAGATGAAGTCTTGTGCTCGGTTTATGATCAAACACAATATCTGGCGTTAATTATATATATACCTAAGTTCTATAGGCACCGATTTATTTTAACGTGAGTTGCGATGGATCGAACGACAAACTCGATAAGCTTTCAAACAGAAGGAGCTATTTCACACTGATTCCTTTATTCTTTTTGAAGACAGAGGACTCATAGTGTTGTTTTCTACTACTTTAAGAGTTTGTGCTACCCATTATTATGTCATATCAAATGCTTTACGTGTGGTTAACCGAATAGGATGGCTCAGTTTGACAGAGAATTACGTAGAACTTACCTTGCCAAGTCATGCGTCCCCAATATTAGTTTGGTGTGTAAGTGAGTTCGAAAATGCAGTATTACAAACTTGTAAGACAGTTTAAGCGTAAGAAGCTTTTATTTAGATTCCGACTGGTCTTTTTGGGAAGCTAGAATAGTGCTGGATTGTGTACACAGATCATGATCAACCTAAATAGGTAAACTATTTATAGGCCCACGAAAAGACAGCACCTACCAACATTTGGTCTTGAAGCACTTCCCATGAGTGATGGAGCGTCCGAACAAATAGTGCTCATTTGGTCAAGAAAAAACTGCAATCATCGTAAGCCTCAGTTCAAATCTTTCTAAAGAGAATTAATTAATGAAGGAAACACCTCACAAGGTTGCTGAAAACTCTTTGACAGCCCACGACCGGTTTCGCCCTTCTTGGGGCTCATCAGGTAGGCGCAGTCCACGAGTTTCCGTCAACCTTATGATCAACTTGTACCCAAATTGCACTGTTTTCGAGAAGTGCACTCCTTTGCAAATCAATTTGGCCTTCACGGGAAACTCAATTGAATCTCTCGTTTATGATGTCCTCCAGCTGAATGTGCTGCACACAGGCCGCCTCATGATTCAGTTGGCACGATATTCGAGATATCGCAGTATATTTTCATAGTATATTTTCATGTAGCCTTCATGCTGTAAAATGCACGCACCTGCGTAAGTATCAGTCTGACCTTACCTCTAGAAAAAAATATTATGTTGGGGTACAGAATAAAAAGGAGTAAGAAGAAAAGAAAGCGTTCAGCTGTAGCACCCTTCCGGTGTCTAGCTGCCACGCCATTCGAAGGAAGCTTGAGGGCTAGGATACTGCCAGGTTGCCCAAGCCTAGACAGGAGAAGTCGAGTGGCGGAGGTCGGATTCAAACCACGAACCTTCCGGTCAGTAAATTCGCGCTCTAATCACTCGGGCCATCTCGCCCAAGGAGTATATTAATACGAGTCATAATCAGGCAACAGGCTGCCCCTTACTTTAAAGAAACACTTCTAACGTAGACTTTCTGTGAGTAGGCTGAAGAAAGTAGACTATCAGATGTCATTCTGCTCTTCTAGGAAAAAGTACAAGTAAATGGATCATTCACCGTCTGCTTGAATATGTGGTGAGGCTAATAAAGCAAAACGCCTAGTGAATCACTTCATGTACATTGTTTTGGTGACCTTCGATCACGTACAGATTGTGATTTTAATTTGAGCTATATTGTGTTGAGGGTAAATGTGACGTCTAAAAATTTGCCATCTGAAGGATGGATTTTTCGAAATAACTAGGTCCAATTCAAGTGAACGCACAATGCTAGGATGAGTGAAACATCAAAAAAGCTTGTAGAGTTTCCGGTCGTTCTTAAAATGGATCGGCTATGGATCTAACGATGGCATTTTTAGGACAAGGCCACCTTTACAGCAGCTGAATAGTTATTGTGCAATGCGACTCCAGTCGATATTCCATTGTAACACGCTAAAACTTGCTTTGAAATGAAACAAACTCTTTTATAAATGGATATCTAAAATGTGTAATGTATTTGTTTTACAACAGACTCAGTTCCGACTCTGATCCATCATTCCCACGTGACACACTCCCACAAAGTATTCACGGAAACCATGAACTCTGTGCTGGCCGTGTTTACCTTCCTGTCAAATGACCTGAATTGTAAGTGTTTACATGTCCTTTTTTGGTGTGGATTCACGAGAATAATTTCGCCAGAACAAAAAGACCGTTAAAAACGGCAGAATATACGAACATTTGAACTCACAGTATGGTCATGCTATAACGCCGTATGTGTTTCTAATGGCTCGCGCGACTCAATTGAATCTCTCGTTTATGATGTCCTCCAGCTGAATGTGCTGCACACAGGCCGCCTCATGATTCAGTTGGCACGATATTCGAGATATCGCAGTATATTTTCATAGTATATTTTCATGTAGCCTTCATGCTGTAAAATGCACGCACCTGCGTAAGTATCAGTCTGACCTTACCTCTAGAAAAAAATATTATGTTGGGGTACAGAATAAAAAGGAGTAAGAAGAAAAGAAAGCGTTCAGCTGTAGCACCCTTCCGGTGTCTAGCTGCCACGCCATTCGAAGGAAGCTTGAGGGCTAGGATACTGCCAGGTTGCCCAAGCCTAGACAGGAGAAGTCGAGTGGCGGAGGTCGGATTCAAACCACGAACCGGTCGGTCAGTAAATTCGCGCTCTAATCACTCGGGCCATCTCGCCCAAGGAGTATATTAATACGAGTCATAATCAGGCAACAGGCCCTTACTTTAACGGGCCATCTCGCCCAAGGAGTATATTAATACGAGTCATAATCAGGCAACAGGCTGCCCCTTACTTTAAAGAAACACTTCTAACGTAGACTTTCTGTGAGTAGGCTGAAGAAAGTAGACTATCAGATGTCATTCTGCTCTTCTAGGAAAAAGTACAAGTAAATGGATCATTCACCGTCTGCTTGAATATGTGGTGAGGCTAATAAAGCAAAACGCCTAGTGAATCACTTCATGTACATTGTTTTGGTGACCTTCGATCACGTACAGATTGTGATTTTAATTTGAGCTATATTGTGTTGAGGGTAAATGTGACGTCTAAAAATTTGCCATCTGAAGGATGGATTTTTCGAAATAACTAGGTCCAATTCAAGTGAACGCACAATGCTAGGATGAGTGAAACATCAAAAAAGCTTGTAGAGTTTCCGGTCGTTCTTAAAATGGATCGGCTATGGATCTAACGATGGCATTTTTAGGACAAGGCCACCTTTACAGCAGCTGAATAGTTATTGTGCAATGCGACTCCAGTCGATATTCCATTGTAACACGCTAAAACTTGCTTTGAAATGAAACAAACTCTTTTATAAATGGATATCTAAAATGTGTAATGTATTTGTTTTACAACAGACTCAGTTCCGACTCTGATCCATCATTCCCACGTGACACACTCCCACAAAGTATTCACGGAAACCATGAACTCTGTGCTGGCCGTGTTTACCTTCCTGTCAAATGACCTGAATTGTAAGTGTTTACATGTCCTTTTTTGGTGTGGATTCACGAGAATAATTTCGCCAGAACAAAAAGACCGTTAAAAACGGCAGAATATACGAACATTTGAACTCACAGTATGGTCATGCTATAACGCCGTATGTGTTTCTAATGGCTCGCGCGACACGGTGATTTTTAGCTCGGTATTCAGGTATTTCTTCCACTATGTGTTTGCGATGCTGAAGGGGTCTTAGAGAGACGAGGGATTGACTTTCAACCGTTTTAGTCAGTTATCAGATGTTTTTATTCTGAAAAGTATCACGGAAATATTAAATTTTGAGTAAGTTTGCAGATTGCGCGTAGTAAGCGTGTGTAAAATGCTAGATGATCAATCAGATTGGCAACTTGGTTTGTGAATGCGGTGTCTGCATACTGAACAGGTTCTCATCACAGCTAAATGTATCAGTTAGAAGTGTTTAGGAACCCTCTTATAAACTTATCTTAGGCGACTATCAAGAGCACAGAAAGGCTTGTTGCATGAGCATCCATTTGAGGCAGTGATTGGTTTTTCTTTTCTGAAACCTTGTAAAGAAACGATTTAGCTCTGACCGCAGGTTCATCGGGGCAGGATGTTTTTTAAAGTGAAACTTAATAGCTGCTATCAATAATATTGCAAAGAGAGACCTATCCACTCAAGATAAACAATGAGATTGTCAGTACTTGCACTTTTGTGGTTCGAGTAATGTAAGCTGTCATTCTGTAACCATCTATAGTTAATGCCATTTATGTATTGTCTTTATTTAGATGAATCAGACGCTTTTACCGCTAGTGTAACAAGCGTAAAGAATACGCAAACCGCAATCGTTGGCCAGTTTGACAAATTGGAGGAACTTTGCAAAAGTAAGTTTGTCATTGTATAATTCTTTAGATTAACTGTGGTAAGCATAGGTTTCGTATATCAATGCAAGTAGCAAAATATCCAATTTTTAAACCATACTTGGTATTCTTAACCGTACTTCATACCAACAAAATTCTAATACAATTGGATGCGGTTGTGTCAGATTGAACAGGATTATGAATGTAAATCTAGTTCCAGAACACTTTTTATCCTAAACACCAACGGGACAAACACTTCTGCTAGTTAGATTGTGCATCGGTCATTCTGTGGATAGGAATTCACAGAATGAACTGTTCTTGACAAAAGTGGTGGTTTTTAGTCCCTGAAATGTCAGATAAAACAAACAACACAGATAGATATATATTACTCTAGACAAGTCGAGCCTAGCAAATGTGGACGGCGTGATAAAACTGTGACGGGTTTGTGGAAAATTGGAAAAACAACAGGTAGAGTCAGACTAATCAAAGCAAGTATTTTTGTCGGATGCCTCAGATGGTCGTTTGTGGAGAGGTTATCGAAACGCTGAGCAGGGCGGAGGGGTAACCTTCACATTACCACATTCTAGGGTGCTCGGAAATAAGCGATATCACCTTCCCAGCCAGTGAAAAGAATGGCTCAACGTCCGGCATACTTGAAACGCTTCTGCATACTGATGGATATTGCCCGATTGGACTGTGTGCAGAGCCTTTCGGTGTCCGCATTTGTTTTTCTTGAAAGTAGAGTGATGCTAAAGTCCGTCAACGCCAGCGCAGTCAGTAGGCAGTTAGTTAAACCAGTTCGCTAAGACTATTCTTTTGCACTTTGGTACGCAAGTACCTGTGGAGTTCCGTTTTTGAATTTTGTCTTATTTTACTGTTTACCCTTTCGGAAGAACGTAACTATGCTCGTTTAAAAAGTCTGATAATTCTTAACCCCTTAAGTTCGGGCAACTTGATTACGCTGCAATATTTCGGGTTGTCTGAGGTAAGGAAGTTTCTAGTTGTCATTTCACTGGTAGACCTTGTTGGTGAACAGATTGCCTGAATCACGAAACATCAAACGAATTTAACATTAAAGAGCTTGTCACTACCGACCGTCTTGATAGTGATCAAGTGTTTGTAGCGTCCTCCGGATCATTTAGCTTTTATTTATGGTTGATCCGTGGGAAGTCAAATCAAACTGATGTATAACGTAACAGGTGGTGTGTTTTTTGAGAGGACACAAATAGCTTATTTGAACCAGTTTTCCGGTTAGGTTCAAGGTTTTCAGGTCAAAAGTTGAACAATTCATAGAGGAATACATTCAACGGTAGTAGTTACAACTTACCTCGTCTAAAAAGTAACTCAAGCCTAATTATATATGCTATAATTATGTTGAGTCAAAAAGCAATAATGGGAACTGGTTTTCATGATCGCCTTTAAGTCTCTACGACGCGGAATGAACGTCCGTGTGAGTGCACCTAGGCGTCGCGTATAAGGCAGAAGTCCAAAAAACCTTACACCTGAAATGACCAGCACAGAAAAAGAATAAAAATGACCGAGAAACATAGCTAAGTATAACAAGCTAGTAACAGTGCCAACAGTGAAAAGACAATCACTGAGAACCAGGTATTCGACAAATATGGGTAGCGTGCATGTTTTGAGGTAGGGACCCAAGGAAGCTCCATGGGTTCGCGCTCGAGCAAATATGACTCGCTGTGCGCCTCGGTTTTAATAAATGAGAAAGTGTAGGGATGGAAGGTGCTTTTCTAGATAGAACAAGTCGGACCTCTGTGCTATGTGATTACAAATCAAGAGGGACAGTCAACGAAAGTGGTTTAGTCTTTGGAACGACCAGAATTCATACAGAATTCACCCCGTCCTGCGCATCATGAAGATCCGGCTGCTAAAAGGACGAGAATCATACCTCACATTTGTGTTCGCCTGTCAGTTAAGTCTAAGCCATTGACGTAATTATTGAAAACACAATTTCTAACAAAAAAGCAGATAAGGGACAAAAACTACTTTTCAAAAAGTGACAACGAAAAAGTCCGTTTTCGTCGGAAGAAGTACTGCGGTTGCTTACAAAGTACCAGGGGTCTATCACCATGGTAACAGGTTTGGGGCTGTACGTAAAATCGACGTGGATGAATATAGTCAGTGACACGGTAAGCTCACGAGCTCCACTTGCGTTTGATAGGGTAGTAGAATGTATCTCTGAAAATCAACTTAAAAACATACTATATTATAGTATTTGTAATTATCCAGATGACACCTCTTAGAGAAACTGTTGTGTACTGACGTAAAGGCGACATCCCTACTAATAAGAATTCAATTTTTTAAAGGCGGCACGCCAGCAGCTGCATGGCCCGTTCTTGAGTTTGGCAAACTGCAGGCTTACAAATTGGCAGCGGATGTGTTCCAAATGAAACAACCTACTGGATGTGCCCTGAACGATGACGGTAAGTATGGTTCTAGTTGTAATGGACGTATTTTGTACGACAACGTTGTTAGGATGCTTACGATGCTCATTGGTGTGGTGTACTCCGGTAGTGATGATATTTGATGGCTCGTATCTCTGCATCGAAGCCCATTCGCCCCGACCCTGAATGTTCTCAAACAACATCCTATTCCCCCGTGATATCGCTACAGCTTGCATTGGAAACCAAGCCACCCAACCTGACTGTCTTTCTGCTTCTTGATGTTGCTTCTGGTAAGCCTAATTTTAAATCTGGTGTAGAGGATGTTATATTCTTCCAAGAAAATGACGCCGATTGGGAGTCAACTGTTTTACAGTCATGGAACTGTGTTAGGATAGATGAATGAAAATTTGTAAACTGAAGACGGATGGCGCACAACGGAGGCTACGGAGACAACAAAAATATATCGATTCAGTCACCACATCCGGAAATCTGAATGAAAATTGATGGCAAATGATCAGTCACCCTAAAGTTCCTCAATATTTTATCATGGGTTTCTGTTAGCTCTAGAGAAGCTTTTTGTCACCAAAAGAGGCAAATCATGTATACAATTAGCGCATCGGATCGATGGGGAGTGGTTAAGTAGTTTGTGTGTGTGTTGCTAGCCGGGACTGACCTTCGATCCCAGTGGTTTGTTCGATCGGATGGTTCCGTTGGCTGGTCTGTTAACTTCTGTCCTGATTGGTTGATGACCACGTTTATTTTTTGGTCTTTTTAGATTCGACATTCGGCTCCCTTTGAGTAGTTAGGTTGAGCTATTAGGCTTGTGCTCGTAATAATGCGTAAAATGGTTCTACTCAAATCTATCGATTGATATAATTCTTCATGCAGTACTATGCTTCCAGAAACCCCTTTTTGTGTTTCATGTTTCTATTCGTCAAGATTTTTGCGTTTCCAATTATGAATTTGTGACACGATTGGTCTTTCTCACAGTTGTTTAGGTTGATTTAACATCGAACTATTGCTTACTCCCTCAGGATCCCCAACAGTGTACGGATGATGTCAACTCGGTCGGTGATGAAACGTTCGCAATCACATTGCTCAAATCAGTGATTAGGTCAACAATAACCCATGCTACCTCAGCTACCACTATTTTTATCAATAGCGCTCAATTTGTCATAGTAGTCTCTAATAAGCGAGGATAAATGCCTTTGTTGATCCAATAAGTGTATAAATTTGCACCACCGTTGTACATCAGATGCTTTTTTCCAATAAATCAAAACCCTCCCCAGTAACCATTCCTCATGGTTTTCTATTACCACAGATAAGGAAGCCGACGCAATGATTAACAAACTAAAAGATTTGGTGAACAATATGAAGAAGTTTAATATGGAGCTGCCGAGCACGAGGTATTCAATAAAGAAAAACAGTAAGTGGTACCCCGAAATTCTGGTCATCTTTTTGAATATTTATACAACAGTTTCGAAAAATATCCAATACCCTTGGTAAAACAGCAATTAAAGTACCCGAATGTAAATTATTCTCTAGATTATACCGTTTGGCGCCAGTTTAATAATAGATATGTTTATCTTAGAAAAGGGACCATTCGTAGTCATAAAGCGACTATCAGGCTGAAATTCTCCCAACAATGATTGTGATGTACTCTGTCCAAAAAGTTCATCAAATTCGAGCAAGGCTCTTCAGCGAAATTACAGTAGGGCACAGTAACAGGATAGTCACCCAATAAACACACTCCAGTGCCGCAACAAAAAAACGTGTGCATATTTAGTCTCAGAGATTACGGGAACTGTCATGTGATTAGACATTCCTTCAACAATGTCCGTGGATTTACCTCAGGGAATACCTCATCTAAAAATTCGTCAAACCATAGAGTGAAAATGATTAGAAAATTACGGAAAGAATTGTTTTTCAAAATAATTCAACAATTATTTTATTGTTTGTTTGTTTTTACAGTAGGATATACTATTGTTAGCAGGGTGGTAGGAATATTGTACTATTCACCAAACAGATTGCCAAAATGCTGTGAACATTTTCGACAAATTTCATCGCTAAATGTTTTGATGGAGTAGATGTACATCTGTGATGCCGCTTCCACCGGAATGCATCAGGCTTTATTCAAACCCCATCCTCTGCTTACGGCTTGAGTCTTGTCCGACCCAGTCAAATGTGTTACATTTTGAAAGGATGACCGTCACCTGTACACGCAATGCACTACTCACAAGGTTGTTGGAAATTCGTCGACAGCCCACGACCAGTTAAGACCTTCTTGGGGCTCATCAGGCAGGTGCGGTGCCCGAGTTTCCGTCAATCTTATGTCCCACTTGAAACCAAATTGCACGAAATTGGCGAAATACATTCATTTGCAAACAAAGTTGGTTTTGCTAGAGACTCATCCGCAAAACACACAAACGGGTGATTTAGCTGACTTCCAGGTGAGTCTCTCGCAGAACCATATTTGTTCGCAAATGAGTGCTTTTCGCCATCATCACCCGTTTAACTACGCTTCATCCCACCAATTCACCGAAGGTTTAGGTCCATCAAGGAATTTCGATCATTAGTTCACCGCTTTTGGTCAAATCTCCAATTCTTGATCCAGCGGTTTAAGTTATCACGTTTTGTTCAAACTTTTTTTTCTCGTTTCGGAAATTTACTGAACTAGATTCCTTAGTATTTCAATAAAATATCTTAAGCGAAATCTATTTACCTTTATGCACTTTACTGCATTATGATTGGCCCACCCAAAGAATGGTAAAAACAATTTCAAGTCGAGGAAAATTGCGACAAAAAGCTCCTGTGAAATCCGTAACGAGACGGAAAATAAATTGCGAACTTGTGTGATCCGTGATCACCGACAATGTTCAGACGAACTGCAAATGTTGAATGAAAGGTTTGTGTTTTTTTAATCGGATGCTTTGTTCCGAGTGCGGATGCAGAAAACACACTACAAGAGACATATCAATCCTAAAATGGTTATCCGTGACTTTTTGACTGTAAGTTTAGCCGTCTTTCGTCTGCCATATCTCGCTTGCAGTCGTTTTCGTACCCACACAACACAAAGCCCTAGAGGACGGACTGAATGTATTTCCAACAGAGTGAACAGGCTGTTTTCATCCTTCAATTCTGAATGCTTATCCGGACTTAAATCACACCGACTTCTTTTGCGATTTTTACCGATGTGATTGACCGTTGTATATCTTTCAACGCGCCGAAAAAGTTCAGCGTATTTTCAAAAAATTCCTTTGTATGGGTCCTTATACAGATGCATATGATGTGGACTGCCACTCCTGGTAACAAGTATGTGCTTTGCTATCGTATTACGGTTTGATTTGGGAAGGTTCAAAATCCACAAACTAACTATGTTTGTAAGATTCATGTTTACAGGTGAGATCCTATTGGAATAATCGTTCTGGCTATCAATAGGTCTTTAAAACTGAATTTTTTGTGGTCTGCCCAAATGGATGGACTTGGAAGCTATGCAGGGATCCCTTCGTCATCGCCATTGACGTAGTTGCACGCAGTGTGAATGACTGTAAACTCAACGTAAAAGTAATCGGGATTATTGACCATAGTAAGGTGAAATGCCAGGCCATACACAGCAATAGTAGGGTAGTTGCTCGATTTGTTAGTTTGTACTGGGTTCTTGGTTAGTTTTCTTGTATACCATTTGTGTTCATTGGTTCGTACCATCTTCAGTTTGCTTGATTCTTTTGCATGAATTGAATTATGGCCGTCCTGGCTGTCTAATGAAGTGGGATTTCTTTGGTGCAGCAAAGATGAAAAGAAATACTAGGACTGATTGGAAGGGTAGATAAAAGTAGATCTGAGGTTCTTTCACAGGATGGATTTAGGACAGTCATCCAAAAATCTGCTTCACAACTGTTTCTTTTTTGTCCTGGTCCAGCAGATAGTTTCATCAATAAATGAACTATGTAACTTATCGTTGCAGTGTTTTCATGAGAAGTGGTACCGAATAAGGTGTAAATACACTGAACAGCCATCGGCCACCTCTTTGGTAGTTCACTCCAAAGAAGAGACACTATCTCGTTGTTATCTGTAACAAATGTCTCATTTAGTCGTTCGAAAATCATCGCTATCACCAGTCGGTCATTCAACCAGGTTATAAGCATCCGTCTTGGGAACCGAACGATGAGACCAGAAGTGAACATGAATTCTGTAGATCGGCACTTTCTTTTCAAAAAAAGGCGGGAATATTTCGGAGTCCATCAAACACAAAATCGTCCTTCACACTAATGACGTTTCTCATAGTCTTTTCCGGTTAAAGTAGCTTATGGTGTAGATTTCAACTGATGTTTTATCATTCACACGGTTTTGGAATAAACCGAATGAAGAATGTGACCACTAAGGTGATCATTCTCACGAATTGCAGTAAATGACTGTATAACATTTTCATACATAAGAAACAACATTGACTCCTTCGTTTGGTTCAGTTTCTTGTAGCTACATGTGGGCACCCAGTAAACATTCATAAGAATCAATTTCAGTTTTACTCAGAAGATTCGAGTAGTAAATTTTCGGCAAAGTGTAATGCGAATTCGTTTGCAAAGTTATCCAATTTATTTGTCAAAAGATTTTACTCACATAGAATACTTCAACAGCTTATTAATATCAAAGAGGCCGCCAAAGTGGGTTACGAAATAACAAAAGTCTGACCCAATTCACACTCCAGTTTCTTTGGTTTCAGTTTCACAATCTTTAAAAACGAGATGAGCTTAAGTGGTGGTTGAATGTGTTTTCATTGACACCATAGACCCAGCCTCTTGTTTCCATTTTGTTTGTTAAAATCTTATTTTACAATACATTTTATCTTTCAACAGGTGGGCTCGCTAATTTTCTCTTTCATTGGCGACAAGAATGCGACATTTTTTCTGCACAACATTACAATGCAAATGATTGTCTCATGACAATAAATTCCTTCTGTTTGGGCATCCGGTTGACTTGGTCTTTTTACTCGATATTATATCAAAGAATGTAGTAAAAACCGTTTGTTGATGAGATAGTAGTTTATCTGTTCGCCGAGCTTGGCAATTGGTTTGCAAATGTTTCGTCCCAAGTTGAGGAGACATTGCCAGTGCGCAGTTGAGTTGCCAAGCTCGGCGAAAAGTTCAACTAGCACCTGACCAAACAACAATAAGCACACTCGAGCTACCTATATTCCGACAAATCGACAAGCGCGGTAGTGAGTTGCCAAGCTCGGCGAAAAGTTCAACTAGCACCTAACCAAACAACAATAAGCACACTCGAGCTACCTATATTTCGACAAATCGACAAGCGCGGTAAAAATGTTGACCTACGTCACTGGCTGCTTTCTGGGGTAGACAGCTATTACACAGCAAACGTGTAGCTGGTTTACAGTTGAGCTCGTCCGACACTGTTAGGTGTCGCATGCTTTCTGGGGTAGACAGCTATTACACAGAAAGCGTGTAACGTTAATTGCTGGTTTTCAGTTGAGCTCGTCCGACACTGTCAGGTGTCATGGGCATACGATTTGATCTCTCAGCAAACAGCCCCAACCTCTGCCGAGATGTAACGTGGCCTGCTTCACCAAGATCTACCCCAGACTACTACGAAATCAACTCTGAACGGAACGCAAGGAGCCCTGCCTTTTCTTTTGATAAGATAAGACTAGTTTAGGCGTTTGCTCTCACAAAAAGTACACAAGATGGCTTTGTTGACACGTATCATTTGTAATTTTAATGAGAAAATTTCAACAACTCATCAGTTTCACCACTCTTCAGGCAAGTAGCGAACTACACTCGTTTACACCCTGGGCTGCCGGAGAATCAAATGACTTTTAGCTGAATTTCTCGTTTATGGCCAAGTGTATGGAGACTGTATGGATGCTGGCTGAGGAATACCAAAGTAGGCAGCGGTTTCCCAAAACCTTATAAATTAGTAACGTTGTCAAAAAGTACTGCGGTACTTCAGATATCGTACCAATCGAGATAAGGGGCGGTCATGTGTAGCACAGTAGTTTGAACACCATCAAAAAACGCGAGATTTATCTGCAATTCAGTTAACTCACGTTTCAACAAGTGGATAATATGTCAACGAAGTATCTCGCTCCGGAAGATCACCAAGTATTCAGAACGTTTAGCATGCTTCCGTTACAACATCGCAATCATGCATAGAGGCATTTTGACAGACATGAAACACAGGAACCCCTGGCCGTATCGGGGTCCTGGTTCACCTTCCGGAAGTTTGGTGCATTAAGCACTGGCTGAATCATCTTGACGCACTGTCTTCCGTAAAGTTGGTAGCCGCGACTGGACATTCTCGTCAACATAAAGTCATTTGATTGGACGTTCATGGAACTACGCAGCAGCATAGCAAGTCCTTACGAAATATCGCCAGGATAGTTGTGTTTCTTCTGTTCCAACCCGGATAATTCCTAGCTAAACAGCAATTCAAAACTACCTATTAGGCTATTCTGTGCTTATCCGTGTAATTTTTGTTTACGTCGGTTCTAA